CTCAAATGTTACTTTGAAATACATGTATGAAAGACAAGTGGCTTAAAAAGTGGGATCCAAAGGAAAAAAAAAACATTTTCCTTTTTTCAAACACAATTTGTTCAATAACTTTAAGAATAAGTTTCCCATATTTTGAAACTGTCTAAAACACACCCACACATATTGACAAGAGAAAACAAAGTTCAAGGTTCAAGGTTCTGGGATTTCATATAGGCTTCAGTTCTATGCCAACTCCTCTTAGATGTAAACACAAACTATTCAACAACCAACAGCACCATGAAGACTCTGCTGTTCTAAGGCTCAAGGAGGAGTTCCCACATTCCATTTCCTGAGCCCACACATCTGCTCCTGCTGCTGCTGCTTTTCCCCCACCCCCTTGAGTTGCAAGAACAGAGACTCGTTCATTTGAGTATGCATTCAGCTTTCACCTCAGTTTACCCAATCCTCCAAAGAGCCCCTAAAAATTGTTGGAAAGTATAAGTTAACAATTACTAAGTGAATCAAAGAAGAGTATCCTATCGTTTAAAGAGGCAGCAACTCTCTCTGGTTACCAATGTAGAAGAAGCCACTTGTTAGTTACCCAGTTCTTGATAGATTTAAAGCAGTTAAGGAAATTTAAAGGTTAAATCTTTTGGAAAAAAGAAGAAAAAGGTAAAAATAAGAGCCAATGTAAATGAAAATGTGTCTCACACTACATTATCTAAAAGAAACAAGATACACACACACACACACACACTCAAAACCAGCAGCAACGATGACAAAAAAAAAACACAAAAAACCTTTGTATCATTGTTCCTAACTTCCTCTATCATTTTGTCTAGTTTTAACAGATCTTAAAGATTAAGCTATATACCCTGTCCTACACCCTCTCTAAATAATTCCATTACAAGGGTTTCACTCTCTCAATATAATCCCAGTAGGGTTCAGTTCCCTTCCCCTAATACCCACATCCTTCATAGAAATGCAGTACTTCCCCTGAACTCGGGACTTGAGCATATATGTCAAATGCCTTACTCTTGAAAGTCACCGTTTTGTGATTTTATTTGACTTCACTTTACCCTGAAGTCCCTATAACCACCTTTTCCCATCTAACAAAACTCTGCAGTTTTCTTTTTCCTTCACAAGCGAAATATGGCTCCAACGTCAGAAGGCAAACAAAGCTAAGTCCACGGAAAAATGAAATCGACGCAACAAAGGAAGAAAGGGAAGAAGGGGGGTACAGTGGGGAATGCACGCGTCTTCCGAAGGAGAAGCTTCCAGGGTAACTTCTGCAATTTAACGGTTCTGGGGAGAGGAAGACTAGCGTGCAGGAAAACAACAAAGCTGGGTTGCCCACTCTCCTTACCGCCGTGGAGCCAGAAGAAGATGCAATGTATACTCGGATCACCATCCTGCGAACAACAGCTGTGGTTGTTGGAGTCCCGAGAAAGGGTGCGGAGCAGCTGCTGCGAAGGCTGGAATGGAGCGAGGAGCCAAACAGAGGTTGGAAGAAGAGGGTGGGGGAAGGTGGAAGGAGAACTGGGCAGAGCCCCGCCTCCACCCTTAGCTGCTTTCAATGAGCTCCCAGCACTGCAGTCCCTGCCCCAAACCCCGGAAGGCTCAGGCTCATTTGCATCATTTCTAAATTGTTTTTTTTTTTAAACACAGAATCTCGAACAGCACCGCGAGATCTGTCGAAACAATTCTTTTTGACTATTCCCTCTCCAGAAAGGGGGCAAGGGAGGGAAAAGTAAAAAGAAAAAGGGATCCTGAGATTGCACTTTTTTAGAATAAAGAACTCTTTCCCCGCGGAGACTAGAAGTTTTTGCGTGTTACTTCCTGCTCAGAAATATATGCAAATAACACAGCTCTTCCTTGAAAGAGCAAGCTCTGTATAGAATACCGAAAGTAATTTAAAAAGTACCTACCTTGCACATTTTTAAAAAGCCTATAATGTGGTGATTTTTCAGGTCTTAGCTGGTTATAGGAATTGGACACCAAAATGCTGCATGATGCAGAGGAGGGCTAAAGAGAATTTTCAAGTTTCCCTAAACCGGAAAGGGTAAAACAGATTTTCTTTTTGTTTGAGTTTCCTTAAAATAGAGAACAATTCTTTCATGGGAATTTGCAAGAGATCTGATTGACAAACTCGTGAATAAGGGAGGAAAAATAATCTGAAAACATTTTGAAAGTACTTTGCATATTGGTGCCTCACATCTGTATTCTCCACATTTGAGACGCTGAGACAGAGAATTGACAGAAATTAGAAACTAGCCTATGCTACAAACTGAGTTCCAGACCAGCCTAGGCTATATAGTGTGAGACTGTATTGGGGGGGAAAAAACTTTCTAAAAATTATCCACCACACTAAATTGGGGCGATCTAGCCATAATCCTCAGTACCAACACCATTGCTATCATATATTGACTTCCTGGATCATGTGACAGGAAAAACATTGACCTGTCTCAAAAATTTGACCACATATCCAGCACTTGGGAGGCAGAGGCAGGGGGATTTCTGTAAGTTCCAGGCTAGCCAGGGCTGCTTAGTGAGGTCTTGTCGCTAAACAAAAAGGTTAAGAAAAATTGATTGTAGCTCCATTACCTAAAGACAATTACTATTGTGTTGATGCACACAAGTTGATTAACTGATTGGTTGATTGGTTGGTTGGTTGGTTGGTTGGTTGGTTGGTTGGTTGGTTGGTTGGTTGTTTGGTTGTTTGGTTGGTTGATTGATTGATTGATTGATTGATTGATTGGGCAGGGGATAAGAGGTTGAGAGTAATGGCAGGGAGTAAGAGAGTCGATGTATACATTCTTTATTTAGACCAGGCATGTTAGCACATGCATTTAGTCCCAGCACTCTGGAAGCAGAGGCACATGAATCTCTTTGAGTTCGAGGCCAGAATGGACTACATACTGTGTTCTAGACCAGCAAGAACTACACAAAATAACCCCAAATTAATATTTTTTAAAACTCATTATTAAAATTCTATTTTATCCATCCAAGTGTTAGTAGAATTAAAAATGTAGGAAACAGCATATTTTAAAATGAAATGGAGATCTTCTTTAAAGGTTAAAATCTCATTCAATTTTATGTCTTACAGGGTTTATACTGAGTTCAATATTGTATAATTGTATTAATTCAACTGTGAACCTAAAAATTTTATAGCCACTTTTGAAAGAGATGTATCTTTGCTCTGGAAATTGTTACTGAATATGTTAGAGCTGTAATGAAATGTTTCTTCTAATCATGTAGTTATTAAATAAAAAAATTCTATTTTATAAATTTTTTACATAGCAAAAATATATTCAATTCTCCCATGTCAAAAAATATTGGTACTCTCTAGCAGTATTGATCTGCTTCATTTTCTCTTCTAATTAAATAATTAAAGGGCAGGAAAAATCTCAGACACAACAGACAACAAACTTTATTAAGAAACACACACACATAGGTGCTGGAGAGGTGACTGAGCAATTAAGAGCCTGACTCCTCTTGCAGAGGCCCCAGGTTCAGTACCAGCACCCACATAGTGGCTAACAACGTTGTGTAATTCAAGATCCAGGGGATCTGACGCCCTCTTCTGACCTCCTCGAGCATTGCACCGTGATGCAGGTACACTTACATATATGCAGGCAACACACTCATACACATAAAGTAAAACTAATAAATAAATAAAATATTTAAAAAAGAAACACCTATGTACACATTCTCATACAGAGAGAAAACTCTCCACACATGGAGAAGAAACTCAAAATCCAAAAATTCCAAAGCCCCTAGAAGGGCTTAGACCTTTTAAGTGTTTTTAGTGGTATGGGGCAGTACCCCCTCCCCTGATTCCCCTGTTTTTTTATTGGTCAACTTTGACAAAGAAGAGAGACCGATTGCATAGGTCACAGCTTGTATGACAGTATGTTCAGGTCTGGACTTGGTTTTATCTAAACTGGTCTGGATGGGTCACTTGGAAAGGAGTCTTGGAGGCAGGGGGAGCCTGCCAGGCTTTTGCCTCCAACCAAGAACAAGCAGGAAGTATGTCATCTGTATTACTCAGCAGGGTCTGCTTATCAGTGAGGTAGTCCCTTATAATACAATTTTGAAAAGTTTTATGTGATTCCATTTTATAAGTATACTAAAAGCTATATAAAAATTCTATATTATTGAGCATATTGCTTGTTTCAATTATTCTGTATCATAGTAGTAATGATATAGTATATGCCATAAATGTTTACATACATCTTAAATAATTTCTTACGAATAATCCCTAATGTACATGCCATTACGATGGCTCAGCAGGTAAAAGTCTCATACCTGAACTGGATCCCCTGGAAACCACAGTGGAAGGAAAGAACTAACTCTTCATTGTCCTCTAACCTCTACACAATATGCTTTGGCACATGAGTATCTGTACACACACACACACACACACACAATAATAATAATAATAGTAACAAATAATAATAGTAACAAATAAAAACTTAAAAATTCTTTAATAGTAACAAACTGAATAGGCAGGCACTTGAGTTCACAAGTACAATGCTATACTGTAAGCCCAGTATCACAAGGATAGAGAAAGAATATTTAACTTCATTGAAGAATTAGCTAGTACCCTAGTCACATCAATTAGATTATGGAGGCTTAAGCTGAGGCTTTAAGTTTTTGGTTGCACAGAATACTGTGAGGACAGTTTTTTTTCTTAAATTTGTATCTACTTATTTTCATCTATTGTGTGTGAACACATGTAAGTATGCTTTGTGATTTCAGGCTTATGTGTATGACAGCACATAGAGGTCCAAGACAAGTTGTGGGAATGATTTTTCTCCTATCTCCTTGTGAGATCCAGGGATCAAACTCAGATCATTAGATCCACCTGCAAGGACCCACTGAGCCATCTCACCAGCCCTGAGGACATTTCATAACAAGACTTACTCTACGTTTCCTCTCCTCCCACAAGCATCCTTGATTTACCTGATGAAAGTCATTCTGCACTTTTCTGAGGTATAGGGTGATATTTTCCTACTCCAAATTCTTTCTTCTGCACTAGATATTCATGTGGCAATGGTGTCATCATGAGCATAGCACTCCCCAAACTACCCATTCTGATTCCTAGATTGCTGAATTGACTGCTGTGCAGGTGTATACCCAGACAATTTCAGGAGCCTCACCAGACAATCTTAGAATTGGTGAGTACAGTGATGTACTTACAGGGAACAAATACAGTAAGAAAACACCCGAACTGAAGATCTGTCATGTAGAGAGACCCTATGTAGAAGAAGCTCAGTAATGTCTGATAAATATGGGCCACACAGTTGGCAAAGAATAATGACTCACTATGCCCCATTCAAAGACTGCGTTGGGTTTCAGATTCTGTCTTTCTCTACCATCAAAATTTTTTCATTGTACTAACTTGAGATTCTGTTTCACAATGAAATGTCTTTTATCTTCATCATTGTCTCTGAATATTCTTCCCATTGCATCATTTGGACTGATTATTTTCTTTTCAGAAGAACACCTTCCCCTTTTCAAGCAGGAACCACTTCATGTTCTACTCAGGATTAAGAATCTCCAGGACACAAACACACACACACACACACACACACACACACACACACAGGAAAAGAAAATTTGTTCTATTTTTTAAACATTTGTTTACTTCTGTATATATGTATGTGTGCACATATGCAAGCATACACATGTGTAGACTCATGCCATGATGCCTGTGGAGGTGAGAGGACATCTTGCAAGAGTCTGTTCTCTCCTTCCATCATGTGGCTCCCAAGGATCAAATCCAGATCATCAGTGTTGGTGGTAAGCACCTGTTCCTACTGATCGCAATTGTCTACCCACTAAGCCATCTTTCCAGCCTTGGACACATTATTTTCTTACTTAGTATAAATGCCTAACCCTTTGACAGAAGCAGCTTGAATAATTGCTGGGCTGCTTGTAATTGTAATCTATTTCCCTTTCTGTGCCTTTAGAAATTATTTTGGGGACAACCATACTTCAAAGACAATTTTCTAAAGGATTTTAATTTATTTTTGAGACTTTTATATCACGTATACAGCAAAGTTTGATCATGTCTACACATCACTCACTCCTCTAATTCCCCCCAGATCCCCCCCCACCAACTTCATGTCTTCTTTTTCTAAATCAGTCCATTTTCTGCTGCCTGTGTTCATGGGTGTAGGACTGCCTACTGCAGTATGGGCAACATACTAGAGGCCACAACACTGGCTCACAGTTTCTTGCTTTGTTTTTTTTTTTTTTTTTTTTTTTTCTTTTTGAGACAGGGTTTCACTACTTCCTTGTTTAGGTCTTTGATGGTTTTTAAATTTTTTAATTATATTGTATTTATTTTATGTGTGCTCTTGTGTGTATATATGTGAATATGCACATGCCATCTCACGTGTAACAAGGTGAAAGGACAGTTTGTTGGAGTGGTTCTCTCCTTCCATCATGTGGGTCCTAAGAATGGAACTCCGGTCATCAAGCTTAGCAGCAGGTGCCTTTACCTGCTGAGCCATCTCACTGACCCCAGTCTTTGATTTTTGTTTGTTTTGAGACAGGATCTCACTATGTAGCCCTGACTGTCCTGGAACACACAATGCAGGCTGGCT